CAATGCACTGCGCCGCCAGCATCAGCACCAGCCCTGACATCACCGCCCCACCGCCCGGCCTTTACATCACCGCCCTTTCTCTGACATCACGTTCCACCCTGCCCCTCTCTACATTCCTCCAGCCCTAGGACTCTCTTAGATGGATCCGCTCCAGCAAATACTCCTAACTGGTCTCTACCATTCACATGACCCCACGCCCCTGGAGGGCCCCATCACTCTTTACCTGTCCCCATAAAACTTACCTGTCTCCATCACTCTTTATCTTTCCACTTCCAGAACGTCCCTGTCACTCTGCCTCATCTAACTACCCCATTTCATCTTCCAGAGGTTCTTATTACTTTTCTCTAAGACCATTTTCCCTAATCTCCCATAAATCTCCATCACCCACCTCTTCTAAGCATCCCAAACTTGAACCCTCCAACCCTCACCTGTTATTCTCAACTCACGTCAGATATGCCTTATCTCCTGACTTAACCTCTATTTCTTTGGCACCTTCTCCCATCTGTTGAAAAACTCTGCTATTGTGTCTAATTGCTTACCAAATAAGATACACACTCTTTACTGTGACATTAAAAACTCTTCCCAACATGTGCCCATAAGGCTACTACTCCCCTTCTGACAGATGGGATTACTCAATATTCTCTGAATATACTCTTCACTCTGTCTTGTCAATTCTTCCTTCCTTCCATTGTTTATGCCTTCCACAAATGCATACTGAGCATCTTCTGCAACAACAACAATAATAATAGCAGCAGCCATTTATTTCTGCCAGTCACTGATTAACTTTACACATATTAGCTCATTTATTCATTTTAACCTCCCTATGACATAAGAGTAACTATTGTTACCTCCTATTTTACAAATGAGAAAATTAAAATACAGAGAAGTTAAGTAATTTGCATTAGTTGACCTAGCTAGCAAGTGATAGAACTTGGATACAAACCCAGATCCATAGTCCATGGGCCTAAGCCCCATGCTGGGGGAAAGGATCACTGAGTCAGGGCAATCTTCTCAGAGGAGGCACTTTCAATTGTAATTTAAAGAATGAGTGGGAGTTTGCCTACAGATAAATGGGACCAGGGCAGAGGGAGGGACCAACTTCCAGGAGAAGACAGCATGAGGCTAGGGATGGACATGCAAGATCATGAAAGGCCTGTGTATCATGATAACATGATTGGATTTTCTTCATTTGGGTTTTGGAAGTGAAGTGAATACTGTGATGAGATATCCATATTCCCATTTAAAAAATCTAGGTATTCAGTTTAGAGTATAACTTAGTGGTAAAACACCTGCTAGCATGTGTAACACCCTGGGTTCAAACCGCAGTGCTGAAAAAAAATCTGGGTATAATTTCCCCAGCTACTTGAAGTATGGATGGGCCTGGTTGCTCTAGGATGATTCCCTCTCTGGGAATTGGAATTATCCAAGATCATGCTCCTTTCCTGGAGTATCCCACATTCAACTTATCATCCTCTGAGCATAAAGACCTTGTCTCTTCATCCTAACTTGGGACTGCTGTCTGAAAATTTTCAAAACTATGATAGGAATAACTGAGGCTTCTTTTAAAAAAATTATATTTGTTCTTTTTAGATGCACATGACAGTAGAATGTATTTTGACATACCATATATACAGGAAGTATAACTTCCCATTCATGTGAATGTACATGATGTGGAGTTACACTGGTGAGGTATTCATATATGAACCTAGGAAAATTCTGTCCAATTCATTCTACTGTCTTTCCCATTCCCATCCACCCTCCACTGAGGCTTCTACTGAGACTGTATCAGAATTTAACTCCCTCCTCTGTTCAATATCACTTTCTTCACCCCTCCGCTGATGTTGATCACCAAAGC